GGAGGATGAGGCCCAGAAATCAGGATTTTAAAAAGATTCCCAGGTGATTCTAATGTGCAGCCAAGGTTGAGAACCACTGATATAGACCAACCTCTAGTCCAAGTCTCAATGACCTTGGGCTGTTACTATAAGATGGTGGGGTGATTACAGATCTTAAAAATGGTTTCACACAGAAACCAATGGCTACTAAAAACGGTTTCCCCAGGCAATATATAATTAAAATTAAATAATAGCCATTGGTTTCTGTGTGAAATATGCTTCTGTCCACTTAACGATCCAGAAGAACAGAACCACTCAGAACTTAAGCCACCTGTCCCAAGAGTGCAGCACAGCTGCTAGTGCCTCAGTTGTCTCACCTGTAGAATAGGGATAATTACAGTATTGACTTCCAAGGGTGGTTGTGGGGACTGAATCAGTTAACAGGTGTAAAACCTTCAGAACAGACCTGGCACACTGCAATCAGTGAGTTTTAGCTCTTATTAACAGTGTGAAACTGGAACCAACACCTCCGGACTCCAAGTCAATACCAGTGTTCTACTGTATCCCATTAATTTCCAAGGCCCCTAATGCTGCCTTTTACCTATGTCACTGTCATGAAAGCCAAAGACCACCATTCAGCTCTTTGCCTCCACTGGGGGACTCCCTTAACTCTGAGACCACAAGCACAGCAGAGAACTCAGAGTTGCTTTCTAGAGCAGTGGTCGCCAACCGGTGGTCCGCAGACCACTGGTGGTCCTTGATGTCCGAAAGGTTGGCAACCGCTGTTCTAGAGGCCTGGGCACTGATGACCTGGTACTGAGCCCAAGGTTTCCCCAGGCAATCAACAGGCTGGGGGGAGTTTTCAGACTGACAACCAATCCACTGCTAAGACCCTGGTCTCCCTCCCCTCACTACACTCCCCGCCTCAGCTTACTAAAGTCTACTTCCTTCCCTGTTTCTCCTTGCCTCTATACTCCCATAGGGAACCTCTACTGTTTTCTGGGATACCCATCACTCCTGACCTTCCGCTGGGATCATTTGGGCATATGTCTTCTGCCCAAATGAGGAAACTTTGTGTTGCCTCTTGTAATACAGTGCCTGGCTCACAGTCATCACTGGGCATCAGTGCACAGACGCGACTGCCTCTCAAAGGCCGAGATTCCCACCCATGTCAAGCCACCTAAAGGTATCCCAAGAGCAGCAAACATCAAATAACTGGTAAAGCAGAGCTACTGTTTACCAAGTTTGGATAAGCAAGGTTCCTCGCTTTCTAATTTGGTTTTATGAGCCTGGAGAGTTTGTCCTGTATTTTTGTTTGTTTGTTTTGTCCTTAGGATCAGTGTGTACTTTAAGAGAAAGCACCAGAATTTCTGAGTTTTACACTGACCTCAAGGCTTGCCTGCTGTCTTCTCAGTGGTAGTAATCATGAATTTAGTTTTAGGTGCTTTAGCAAAGGAAACAAGGAGATAAAAATGAACTGTTGATGCCTTAGCTCCTTTTTGTAAAAAGTATTTAAAAGTTAAATAAAGACACCAATTCATTAACCAAATAATTTACAGGATTGCTAATCTGGTGTTTAAACGCCTGGAGGCTCACCTGAATGCCACCACTAACTCCTTTGGGGCAAGGCCTGTGCTTTTATGGGCTTCAGTTTCCTTCCCTGTGAAACAGAAAGCCAGGTCGACACCTAAGACCGCTATGGACTCTGCAGCTTCTGTTATCTACATCATGGTCTGGGCAGGACTTGTTCCATGTATGTTCAGAGAGAAAAGGACAGACACAGAAGTCTATTAAACAAGGTTAGAGAAGACCAAGAACTGAATTTAAAAGTTGCCCTCTTCTTTTATATATTGGATTATTTCTGTGTCAAAATAATTAGTTAAGACTACAGAAATGCCTCTGAGCGTTCACTAGAGAGTTGATACTAATGCTGGGGAAACACTATTCTCTATTTGGCCCAACTGTGAAATAAATGATTCCACCTTCTCTCTTCACTACCTACCCACATGTCCTAGGCTCCCTTCTTTCAGGCCCACCTTCTCTGCCAACTTCTGATTCTCATTCCTATTAATTCTTTACAATATTCTGTAGGAAGCCCTTGTTAATGAGCCAACCTGCTTTTTCCTCCTGTGACCCGATTAGAATTTAAGTCTTCTACAGGTCCTCAAACTTTCCAAATTAAGTTCCTTTAGGACAAGTCCAGACCATTCATTAACCATAGTGAAGGAGGAGACAGTCTGAGAATGAAGTGAAGAGCTTGTAAAATACAGTGAACTAAATAACACTACAGGGACTCAGTAAAAGTATAGAGTACAGGCATACCTCGTTTATTGTGCTTCCCTTTTTATTTTTAAACCAACTGAAGACCCTCCACCAGCAAAAAGATTCCAACTGGCTCTATTGTGATGACGTGAACCACACCTATGGAGGTGTGCCTGCACGTAAATTTGGTTCAACTGAGACCTTAAGGCAGATGAACCCTTTTTGTTCTGTTTCAAAATTACCCTAAATTGCTGAAGACTGGGAAAAGGTGGCTACAAAGGATTTTCTACTTAAATGACAGCTGAACCAGATTATCTCTAAGATACCTTCCAGCTCTAACATTCCTGAATATCAGTATGTTGTAAAGTCAGCACCACAGGGCCGAGTAAGACTGCTAAACTTTGGAAGCTGGAGCCGGGAAAATGGAGTAATTTGGGTATGTGTTCTCCACTTTAAATATTTATAGCAAAAAAGTGTTCTCCACTTTAATATTAATAGCCAAGGACAAATAAACAAAAAACCCTGGATGCCTATTTACTGCTTTCCAAATTAACACTTGACATGTAAATTTCAATGTGAGTTTCATAAGTGGAGGCAATGTCACTTCAGTGCTCCATCTCTGAGTCAAGAACATTACCTGACCCATAATAGAAGCTCATATATTAACACTCCAAACTACTGAAAGGAACATATTAAGTAAGTGACCTAAAGGAACATACTTCATTTCTATAGCTGTTTTAGTTCACAAAGGAAGAAAATACCAATGTTTCTGTCAACTAGGTGTTCCTAGGAAATGGGATGTATTCCATGGTCAAACAAGTTTGGGAGACCTGAACAAGAACACTGCCCATCTCAAAGGGGATGATGGCAGAAGATTCAAAATACAGCCTAAACTTACTGAGGCGATGAGGTCCCCTTATCTGGGCACTTACTGACACACCCAGGCTGCACAGCAACCCGATGTCATCTTAGGGATAAAGGAATGCTCCCCACAGCCTTGAAATAACTTGTCCCAAGTCCCATGCAATCGGTTCCGACAAGCCATGATAAAAGTGAGTTTAACTCCAAAGCCCATGGTATCAACCACTGTTTACTGTGGAGTTGTGACAAATTCTCCAGGTGGGGGAAGTTTTAATAGTGTACAGTTGACTCTTGAACAAGGGCTTGAACTGTATATGCTGATTTTTTCAATAAATACTATAAATTTATTTTTTCTTACTTATGATTTTCTTAATAACATTTTTTTTTTCCAGTTTACTCTATTGTAAGCATCCTATATAATAAAGACATAGTATGCAAATTGTCCCCTGTCTGGGAGTTTGACCAGGGGGCGGGGCAGCAGCCTCTAGTACAGTGTATAAAATACATCAACAGGAGGCTAATGACCAGACCACTCATTTCAGAGAAAGGGGTCTGAAGAGCTTATAAGATACAGGTGAGCTAAAAGAATCTACTGGAAAATCTTTTCAAAACAAATATATTCACCCTGGGGGGAGCGTGTGCTTTTCAGGACAGATTGGGCAAGGATGGGCATATAAAGTGAAAGCCTATTTTGAAAAAGGACCCTAGGTGATAGTGATAGTCATCATGTCCCTCAACCCACCATCAAACATTGACTTGAAATGGGACAGGGAGTTCTCTTGGGATGAGTTTGTAAGATCTTAAAGTCAGGCAAAAGTTCCAAACAAAATGCCCTATCCAAACCCACCCCAAATCCTATCCATTCTTAAAGGTTTGTCCTGGGGTAGGGAGGGCACCATTACCAATTTGAAAGGATCTAGACAAATCTGGATTCACATCACTTGATTTATAAAAAAGTTTGTAAAGAAAGCAGCAATACAACCTGACTTCCCTTATAAACTGATTAACCTTCATCATTGTTCATGTCTACTCATTAATTTCACCATTTATAGAAAGAGGAAGGACTTTTAAAATTATTACCTAAAGTCACTTCTGGAAGACCATTAGGACCTAGTTGGGACTCAGATTAATAACCTCAGACCCTCCTAGCCCATGGCCCTCTCCTCTCAGAACACGAGCAAGATGTGTGAGTACTGAGAACCCAGGATGGACTCACTCCCTAACTGCAATGAAATCTCGGAAGCTAGGATTGCCTTCCCAAGGCAGGCAAAGCCCCCTGCCTCACTGAGCCCAGTCTTTCCGGTAAATAAAACCACTTCCATGCCAGCCTCTGAGGATTAAGAAATCGTTTAAGAATGTAAAGTGGGCGAAAAAGACGTTAGATATTGTGATGTGAGAGCTCTGGGCCCACCTGGGGGGTTAATTATTCCCCTGGCCCCAGAGGACTCGGCCAGAAAGCCGGCAGCTTGCTGGACTGCCCTGGGATGCCGGGCTGGCGGTCTCAGAGGAGAAGGAAGAGTAGGAAGCAAGAGTTTGGGGGGTGGAGCTGGGGGAGGGGGCTGTGAGGATATTTGGAACCAGGCAGGGAGGGGAAAGAGGAGAGGCCCTGGAGAAGGAGGGGTCTTAGACAGTTCTCCCACCAACTCTGAACCCAACCCCCTCCCCTCCCCTCCCGATCTTAAAAGTACTAGTCGTTTCTTAATGGCTCGCACGCACTGAGCACTTATTGAGACAATGATTAGAACTCAGCGAGCGCTTGTTATGAAAATACCAGTTAACGTCCGTCCCAGGGACCATCCTAGGACCCAGGCTGAGACGCGGGCCCCAACGCCAGGGCCCGGGGAGAGAGGAGGGTGTGTCTGGGCCCAGGGTGACAGGACCCAGTGGTCCCGAAAAAATTGAGCGAGGTCTCCACCAGGCGCAGGTAAAGCTGCGAGTTCTTGTTGCCATGGCTCATGCGCTGGGCTAGGCCGTTGCGCTGCAGGACACACTCCTCAAACTGCACCACGTTCTGGTGGCGCCGCTTGAGACTGGTCAGGGCCCAGAACTCCGCCAGCGCCAGCTCCACGTTTTCCGGGGCGTCGCAGCGGATCTTCTTGACCGCCACCCGGGCCCCGCTGCGC